AACTGCTTCAAAACACAATCAATGTTCAGTAATACAAAGATCACCCTAAATAAGCAATTGGCAATCAAAACCAAATTAGGCTATACCCCATTGGTTACAAAGATTAATATTAACATTGTCTAATCCATGAATAAACCTGCCCCTAAGTTGGAACCCAACAATTTCCTTTATCTCGCTGAACATAGCTTCGACAGTTGAGGCTTGAGATTGAAAAAGTCTTTTGTTTCTCTCTTTCCAGATAATGTAGATCAAAGCATTGGAAGAAATTTTTAGAATTGAGGAAAGAAGGGATTTACCCTTCCAAGTAGCAGCAGCCCATTCAAATAGAGCATTCCAGGTTGAGTGCCTAAACCGAAGACCATTGAGAGAGAAGGTTGCAGTCCATAGAGCAGTTGCAACCGGGCACTCCAAAAATAAGTGGTTTATGGTTTCCATACCAACACCACAAAAAATGCAATGACATTCGTTAACGATCCCCATTCGATACAGTCTCTCTTTTGTAAGAAGTCTGTCTTGAAAAGCCATCCACATAATGTGTCTATGATTAGGAATTAGAAGAGGAAACCATAGCAGAGAATGCCATTGAACTTTAGGATCTTTCTCCCTAATGTCATTCCATAAATCAATTATTTTCTTGGAGACCGAAGGCAAGAAAGAGGAAGCTTCAGTCCTTAGCATCAGAATTGTCTTTAAGCTCCAGCTCATATTAGATTTAACATCAATTAAATTTTTTTTATCTTCTAAAATGTTATAAATCTATCTTTTTAATATAGAATCTTGTTTCTATCTCTAAAACTAATCAAGACAACCCTTGTATATTCTTCACTCAGACTCGTGTTTATTTTAACCATGAACCAACCACTATAAGTTAAAATCAATTTTGTTTCTCAATCCTAATCGATGGGTTGCTGTCAGCCACTCATCAATCTGGTCCATTCAATGTTTTGCAGCGGGGACCAATAACAGTCACGGCACGCAGCTTAGTTGGAGAGAAAAATCTAAGAAATGGGGCATTGTTTAGGTAGACAAGGAAAAGCCTACCAGTCTTCGTGACCAATAACAAAAACCAGTACAGAGAGCGAAACTAATTTGACTATGATGTTTTCTTAATGGTTTGTTTAATATTTAAGCATCCTTAATTTATGAATTAGATTAAGGGTCGAGTCAACACATTCAACTCCGATAGAATTACCCCAAAACGATTTGGTACACTGATTTTTTAATTTTTTATATATATATATATATTTGTATTTCAATTGTTTAAAGGATATTTTTTTACATCGTAGTTGGTGTTGATGTGAAATTCCAATAGTTAATTAGACTGTTCCCGTTATATCGATTAGTTAAAATATATTAAATATCACATAAATTAATTCAATTGAGTTTTAAAATATCATGATAATAATAGGTGTCAATTTCAGAAAATTTTCCAACTCTATGTATTAAAACGGTTCAAAAAAAAATTAAGTGTTAAAAGTAATAGTAAAAAGCATCCTTTTAGTTTGATTGATATTCGATTTAATTTTAGATAAATTTTCTTCTTTGATACTAATAAAAAACAGATATCAAATAAAAAAAGAAGTTTTATCTTCTTTGAAATATGTAATTATCAAAAATTCTTTAAGTGGTTTCGAAAATAGGCAATAATTATCAAAAACTATAATGTAATGTTTAGAAAAAGTAATATTTATTCCTTATATTATAGTAAAAGATAAAAATTAAACCTAAAATTTAATTTTTTTAGATTTAAATACATTTTTTTAAATTAAGCCAAAAGTTGTTGTAAAAATTACAATTTGGATGCCCTTTGATTTCTCCGCTTCCATTTCAACAAAATATTTACCCTCGTAAATCACACTGGTTGGCCCCATTTAAAACACTCGAAGTACGAGTTTTTATTGTTTTTAATTGTAAAATAAAATATTAGTTTTTAGAAGATTCAAGCCGAATATTTATGTTTATACAATGTGTATCACAAATGGGTTAATTTTTTTAACAAATATTATCTTATAATTATATTAAATTATTTCAAAAAATCGTTGTAATTTTTTCTCAAGTTTACGTCATTATCACCTTTTTTTTTTTCTTTTTTTCATCTTTGTTGGTTTACAGAGACATCAATTTTAATATTGATCGCTAACCGTCAATATTTATTGTTTCTCTTCAATTTTCTTATATCATAACTTTATTTTTTCATTGTTTTTAGATTTCAATAACTGTCTTTTTTTTACAAGCTTTCTTTTGTCCCTATAACATGCTTTCGCTATTCTTTATCGACAATACTCAGCTTTGATTTGCGATTCTCTATAGTTTTTTAATAATTTGATCTCCTATTGTGATCCGTTTGTCGATGCATTAAGATACGTTCGTATCTATATTTTGTTCAAATTTTTAAGACGATGTTTGAACTTTTCTTCTCATATCATCCTTGATTAATTTATTGTATCAATAATTATAATAAATATTCTAATTATATTTTTAGTCTACGCTTATAATTATAAAAAAATTATTACAATTTTAAACTTGTTCTACTTTCTAATAAAACTGAAAACTTCTATTTACATTAAAAAATCATATAAATTATTAACAGAATGTGAAGAAGAGAAGAGAAGTGAAAGACAAATGAAATTGAAAAGTAGATACCCTTTTCAAGCAAAGTGGCCGTAGTTTACACTAACTTGGTTTATTTTTAGCATGGTTTTTAGAACTGGACCGGTTAGCGAATCGGTCAGGCTACCGGTTCACTGGTTTAACCGGTCGAATCGGTCTGATCGGTCGGAAGAATCGGACGACGTTATAATTATTTAAAAAATTAAATAAAAATATCAAAAATATTTAATAAAAAATAATTTTTTATATCACAAGTCATATTCAAAGCAAGTCATAACATATATAAGTTAAAAATCATAAAATAAAGTGAAACAAAATGATTCAAATTAACTACAACATAATATTTAAGGTAAAACATATTAAATAATAAATATAATTATATAACTATAACTAAAAAATAAATTTGGGTAAAATCATAACAAAATGATATTGTTTGGTTTAATTTTTTTTTAAAAAAACAATCTCACATGGCTAAGAAACATAGAAGAACATCCCAAAAGTTTAAAGAGTAAAAATATGAGAACAAAACAATCTCACATTGCTAAGAAACATAAAAGCGCATCACAACTAACTTCTATAAATAATAGATGTAATTTGACATTCAAAATCATGGAGCCTTTTGGTGAGCATTGAGTGAATTATTCTTTCACTTTAATCAAGCTCGAATTTTAGGCTTCAATCGAGCTTCTAATTTTTTTTTTGAGTTCAAGCCTTTTTGAGTTCAAGTTTCAATATTATATTTCGAGTTTGAGTTGAACTTGATAATTTTTAGCTTGTAAGTTTGAGTTGAGCTTACTTTTAAAGTTTTCAAGTTTGAGTCGAACTCAACAATACTCGAGTTCGACTTGGCTCGTTTAACAAACGACGTTGTTTGGTTTAATTTTTTTTAAAAAAAAATTAAAAAAAATCCCGATTTTTCTCGGTTTTCAGTCGGTCCGGTTCGAACGGTTCTGGCCGGTTCACTAATAATGGTTCAACCGATTTAGATTGAACCGGACTAAACAACGATTCCCGATTGAACCGATTGAACCGGCCGATCCGGTCCGATTTCGGTCGATCAATCTCCAAGTTAAAATTAGATTACAACTTTCCTTTAGAGACAATATATTGAACCCTCCCTTGCTGGTGCATCATCTGTAATTCATAATTGATTGGACAAATATAATTATTTTATTTAAAATTAATATCTTATATATATCAAGGGAAAGGATCATATCCAAAGGATTGAAAATAATATTATTTTTGACCACATGCAATACGAGCTATACTGAATTAAAAGAGAGAGAGAGAGAGAGAGGATAATTATTAATTATAAATAACGAGTGACACGTTAGAAAGCGGGAATCGTGAGGCCATCAAACTCACCGAGTCACCGTTCTACAATCGCACAGTCTTTTTTTAATAATGTTTAATCCACTCCGTCCCCTTATTATTTTATTATTTAAAATATTATATTATTATTTTATGGATTTGCCTCCCTATATAATGGAGAGCCGAATTGATTCCTGGGAGAGAAAAAAGAACCTATCGTTTCTCTCTTGAGTTCATTTATTAAAAAAATCTCTTATTCCTTTTCCAGTCAAGTATTCAACCTCCATTTGCTCTTACATATATCTATATATATCTTCTTGTTTTGGGTGTCTTTGGAAGAAGAGTTTTACCAGATTCTCCATTCGGGAAAAAAGAAGGAAAGCACTGTGTTGATCAAGTTACACGTAAAACAAACTTGTCGACTTGCTGGTATGCTTTTATTTTCCGGGCTGTATTTTGTTTCCAAGCTTGGATTCTGGGATTTGTACAGCGCCTCCTTCGTTTTGTGGAATATTTTTCTTTTGTTATGGAGTTTTGTAGTGCTTTAGGTCGAGTGTCTTTGATCATAGTTTCATAACTTTCGAGAGATTTCAAGTCTCAAAACTGTTGTGAACTTAGTTTCTCTTTCCTTTATTTTAGAACTTGGAAATTTCAAGTGTCGTTTTTGGGGGCTTTGAAAACTGAGCGTTTCTAAAGTTTTCTTTGAAATCCTCACCCAGTTGTATTATGTTTATTGTAATTGCGGATTGAATATCATTAGGAGTATTGTGGTCATATAATAAAGGTTTTGAGCGATACCATTGTGATTATATAACAATCATTATTCTAATAACGAATCATTATTTGAATCTCTAGATATTTGAGTAAACTGATTGTTTGAATTATTATATCTTTGGTGTTAAGATTAACTAGATAGATTGAGGGATATTTGGGATGTATTTATCTTATGTTTTCTAATTCTGTATTCCTTAAGTACTTAGTATAGATTCTTAAATCTGTATTTTCTTGTAAAAAAAACTTATGTCTGTCTCTGGAGATTAAGATTTTCATGATTCTAATCTGGTATTTCTTTTCTACAGATTTTGCAGCAGATGGCCACTGAACGGTACTTTGAAGATGCTAATAACCCTTTAAGCGAAGGAGAAAAAGATCCCTCGGAGAAATGGGAGAATTTGACGAATTCAGTCATGGATTCGGACGTCAATCCCTACTCCGGTTTCGACTGCAACATCTGTCTGGACTCGGTGCAGGATCCGGTGGTTACTCTATGTGGTCACCTGTATTGTTGGCCCTGCATTTACAAATGGCTTCATTTGCAGACCATCTCCACTGAAAACCAAGACCAGAGGCAGCAGCAGTGTCCTGTTTGCAAAGCTGAAGTTTCACATACCACACTGATTCCGCTTTACGGAAGGGGCCTAACAACTAACGCATCAACAGGCAACACTCCGAGGAGACCTCTCGGTCCGACTTGTGGCGTCGACACGATAAGGTTACCTAATACGACCGATGGTCTACAGTTTCCGCAGTCATTACATCACCATGGTTATTCATCTCAACCACAAATCTACTACACTCAACAGGGAGGTTACCCCGATTCATCGATGCAACCCGGTGGCACGACGATAAGCGTACCGGATCCGGTGACTCGAATGTTGGGTGAGATGGTATACACAAGGGTATTCGGGAACTCCATGACGGATTTATACACATATCCGAATTCATACAACCTGGCGGGGAGCACCAGTCGTAGGATCAGAAGGCAATTGATGCAAGCCGATAAGTCGCTAAGCAGAATCAGTTTTTTCCTCTGCTGCTGCATATTCTTCTGTCTTCTTATGTTCTAATTTTTAGTACTTCTCTGCTTGAAAAATTATACATGTACAGGAGACCAAAAGTATACAAAATACAGCCGGTTGTTGTAATAATACAGTATGAGATGTTGTCATCTCCTTTGCCGCTTATAGCATTTATGCAAGTGTAAGTTATTTTCCAAGCTTAGAAATCAGTCATCTTAGTATTACGGGTGTAAATCAACGAGGTTTGAACAAATAAGGGTGTAAATCAATTGGGTTTGAACAAATAAGGTTAAATTCATGTTGGTTTGTTCAATTTCAAAAGTATTCAGGTTCAGTTTGTGTTTAAATTCATGTTGGTTTGCTCAATATCAAAAGTATTTATGTTCAGTTTGTGTTTATTTGTTTATTTTTAAACTTGATCGTGTTTTCGTTGAAGAACATGTTCATTAGTTTGTTTATATGTTCCCTAAAATATGAAATTATACCATTAGTTCTAAATATTTTAAGTTTCGCAGTTTGAAATCCAAAATTTATCATGTATTTAATTTAGTCCTTAAGCTTCACAGTTTGAAATCCAAAGTTCATCATGTATTCAATTTAGTCCTTACGTTCATCAATATTTAAAATGTAAAAAAAGAAAAGGAGAACGGGATAAACAGGTCGATAAACAAGTTTATATGAGAACATAAATGAACCAAACACACTTTTGTTCGTTAGTTTATTAAATGAACATATAAATTTTGCTCATTTTATTTAACCTAATAAACGAATGCTTTACGAATAGTCTATCGAACACTTGAGATTATAATATAAAAATCCCAGTTGTTGTCACCCTTAAGAACTATTGTTGACAGTATACCTAATGAAAGGATTTCAGGTTTGAAAATAATGGATAATCTGAGGTTAGTTGTCACTCATTTTCATTTTACTGTGTTTTGCGTTAGTAATTAAAAGATAGTAGAGTTAGATGGGGTTGCTAATGGTATAGACTGCCTGCATTTGTAAACTACTAACCTACCAAGAAGAGAGGTCCATTGGTGGTTCCTGGTTTTATATATTTAATTTCAACATCTAAAATGAGATCAAATAAATTTTGTTTTCTACAGGTCCCATTACATGCTTATCTACCATACTGACATAACCTTCTCAGCTTGCTTTTTGTCCCATGCTCTCGATCTTATCGTTTTTGGTCGGTAAAATTTGTAGGACTAGTAGACATTGATACAGAAATACATTGCATCTTGTCCAAATTGTCGTCACCATCATTTGATGAAGTTAAGTGATTAAAATGAGAAATGGCCTTTTCCATGCAGGAGAGGTTGGTGGGCTTTAATTTTCGAGGTTACAAGGGTTTGCATTTTTAGATCTCAAACACCAGAAACAAGTGAAATGGGGGTATATGTCACAATAATTAACGAAAGAGAAGGCCAACATATTATCCTTAGTGACTAGAGAATTTTGTTTTAAAACAGAGATTGCACTAACGACCACTGATACACGGTCCAAACTTAATACAATAAATAATCATTAAATAATCAAAAATACTATAGGAATTACTTCACACTAACGATCACTGATACATGGTCGAAACTTACCGCAATAAATCATCATTAATAATAATCAAAATACTTATCGTTTAAGCAAGTTTCGAGTTCGAAGCTTTGTGTATGCAAAAAGATTTCGCTAGGAGACTCACCAATCGAAACCAAATATGTAACACGAATCAATCTTAATCAGTCAAAACAAAACTTTAATGAACCGGGAGAACAACAAAAAGAATTCACGAGAATAACTTCACAAATGAAGCAGTTTACAATAAGACTACATTAACAAGTTAAAATATCACCTTATTAGCATCCTACTAAATCTATTGGATTAGATACATTGAAAATAAATGAAATTTATCAGTTCAAGGAGTGAAGACAGAATCAATTCAAAAAGAAAATAAATAAATTTACGAAATAAGATACGAACAAACAAAATAAGATTTCCACTATTTTATTAAATAGAAAAGAGAAGACCGGGTAAATAAAAAAATAAAATTCTAAATCTGCCAAAGTTGACCAGATCAATATGGGAGTTGGTGAGCGAATGATCTATCATATCATTATTGGTTAAGCTGAAAATTCTAAATAAAAAAAGGGGGCTCCCTCGTTCTACTCTCTCGTTAATATTCATAACCAATTTCTTATTTTTTTTTACACGGGCTAGACTGTCGGCTAGTCGATTCGTGCAGCCTTTAGATGCTTCGCCTTGTTGTCCTTCGTCTAAGTCAGGCTAAACTCATCGATTAATGTTGCTATAGCGATAAGCATGATGGAAAAGCATGAAAACTTAAGTAAACAGGTGTGAGGAAATTTTTGGCACGAATGTCTGAGTTTATTCACACAAAACTCTCGATATCCAATGAAGGTGGGAGACCTCTTTTTATAATGAAGTCCTCTTATAGCTCATGACTACTCCTAGTTTAACTGCAAGTAAAACTCTTTACTTTAGTTGAAACCCTAATATTTGAGTCCTATTCAAACAAGGACTATGTTACTTGGCTTTATTTTCCAAGTAATGGTCGATCTTGCTAGGTGGACAAGCCCTAAGTCGGTGCTGGCCTCGACCCTCAGTGCACCTTCGGTGTGCGCAGGCCTCGGCCCTGTGTGCCCCCGATATGTGTAGCCCTCACCCCCAAGTAGCCCTATTTGTGCATTGTTCTAGGCGCACACCCGATGTTCGTTGGTCTCGACCTCGAGTGCGTCTCGTTGCTTGTTGGCTATAGCTCTCGGTTGATCTTGTCGTGCGTTGGCCTTGGCTCTAGGTGCACCTTGGTGTGTGGTGGTCACAACCCTAGACAACCATTGATGTTTGATGGTCGTGCTTGTGGGTAGTTTGGGGCGGGCGTATCTTGACCCTGTTCGGCGCTATGTGTGCCTTGGTCTCGGCGTGGCCCTTGTGGGCCGCCTGGGCGACATCTATCGCACCCTGGTGGGTGTTGGTCTCGGCACCACAGTAGTAGCAACCTGCTTTGTGCTGGTAGTGGCCTCACGGGTAGTCTCTTTTGGGCTGACCTCGCCCACAAGTTCGCGACCCGTGACATTTTTAAATTTAATTTGTTTGACGATTTTCCCGGTTTTTTAAATCATGCACATCCTTCGTTAACTATCGTATAAAAGAGAAGATAAGTTTTACGAAGAAATGCATTTTTTAAAGTAATTTGTGGTAATTATAACTTAATGAAAACACACACATATTTTATAGATATAATTATTTAAATTTATGATTTTTTAAATATAATATTTCATCTTATCACTGACAAAACTTAATAGATTCTAAAAAGAAATACGTTCTAAACGCATTCACGATAATGCAATTGGGATAAAGGGATGAAAACCCCATCTATAACCTTGATATGCAAAACCAAAACTTGTCCTCCAAACATTATTGGATAAAAGTTAAGGCCTAAGGGTGAACCGATTAAGTATGGTCAAGTGTATTGAATCTTTAAAGTTCATTTTGAGTTTTAATTTATTTGTTGTTAAATACTTTTTTTTAAAAATATGGTTATTTTTTTTTAAAGAATGTGAAGATCTTATAAAGTTAATGTGGCATGTTCTTTCATATATATATATATATATATATTATATATATATATATATATATGAGGATTTTTTTAAAAAAAACACACTCAAATATATGTGCTCCTCCAATGTATATACTTAACATGTTTCACGTAGTAGTTTTGTCAATCATCGTCGATGATAATAGTGGACATCGTTTTTGTCTGGGTCTCGAAAAAAATTATTATTTTATTATTATAGATATATTATTATTAATTTTTTTTATTAATTTTGATTACATTTGAAGGTCCAATACTATAACCTAGTACAAGTTAACCAAGCACAACATAAACCTAGACAACCCATATAATAAAGACCCAACATACCAGCCTGACGCCGTCGCTTCACCTACAGGGACAAGCAATCACCAAAACAGTACCAAAAGCAGACATCATATTAAGAAAAAAACTCAAATAAAAAATTGAAAAGCTAATTAAAAGGAAATCCCGAGGATATTTAACTCGAGATATCATCACGCAAAGGGCCATCACCATAAAAGCAAAGAGGACAGAGAGAGGAAGAGGAGTTTTTCGAAGATAGAGAGAAAATAGAAAGAGATTCGGGAAACCAAAAACAAAGAAAAAAGAGAAAGATAACATAGAGAGACTCAAAGCAAATAACACAGAAAGAGGAGAGCAACTTACCTCTATTTGAAGCAAGTTGGAAGTTCGAAGGTCGGTGTTTCAAAAGGTAAAATGTTAGATCTAATGGGCTAGGGTGAGTTTTAGGCTACGGGGAGGTTGGATCTTTGTTGAGGTGGTTGAGAGGTTTTCGGTTGAGGGTTTTTGGGTCGCTCCGGCCGCTGTGAACACTGTCACCGGCTGCGTGCCTTTTTCTTCCCCGACGAGGGAAGTCGAGAGAGTCTCTCTCTGTTTTTTGAGAATGAGAGGAAAAGAGGGGAAAGTGAAGGGAGAAACCCGTTTTGGGGCTTAAATATTGGGATCAAAACACTGCCGTTTTGCAACCCTCATTCTCCGTGCTTTCACATTAAGGGATAATAGCCATTTAGGTCCTCCGTATTTTGTAATATTAGTGTAAAACCATTTAATGAATTTTTATTTTCTTTTATTTCGAGCACTCATGTTTCTTTATTTGTATTTTAGTCATGTTCATACTTATTATGTATTTGTGTTAGTATTTGATTTTGGTCATGACATTTGTAAATATTTTATTTTAGTCACTGTTTGGGCATTTGGTTTAATTATTATCTGGTCCTTTATGTTTTTGTTCATTTCATTTTGGTCCCTAATATGATTTATGGATTATTTTCATTTCTAGTACCTATATTGTTTAATATTTACGATCTGGGCTCTGGTTTATTTGTAATTATTGTTTAGCCCTTTTAGTTTTTGTTAGTACCATTTTAGTCCCTGAAATTACCATGTACTTATTTTTTTGTCCATTTGTATTTTGGTTTGTAATATTTAGTTGTTTTTATTTCAGTCCCTTATACATGTACATATTTCACCTATTATGTAGTTATATGTATCCTATTAAATAAATATTATTAGTATTATGTGTAAATATTTTATTTTATATTTGCAATCATATTTGTTTATACTTTATTTCCTTATTT